ATGCTGTAAAGTACTGTGGCTTTGAAGCACAGAAGTGATAGAACGAAGCGGATATCTCCAGTATTTTCCGAATTGAATATTTTCCCATAGGCTTAACATTACGACGTAATGACCTCTGCTCTTACTGACCTCAGGTCAGTGACATAAAAAACCCGAACTATATGTTATACAACTCGGTCAGCTTAGTACATTCTGAAAGTTTGAGGGAAATCAGTTCAAAACTGTGAGTTGGACAGGTGCATTAAAAAAAATTGTAATTTGACCATGACCTTGTACCGGTTTTTCTGAACTGGTGACCTGACCCAAGGTCACCTGGACCTGAAACTTTCAGATCATATGTAGAAAGGTTGCTCCATAGACAGTGCCAAATTTTGCGGCGCTGCGCGCCGTCGTTTTTACTCTATTTTTGAAAAACCTTAGGGGGGTTGCATCAACCCTGCCAGGGCGAGGGTTAAAGGATGCCATATTATTGCTTCCAAATGAAGTCGCTAGGAACAGCGGATATCCCACAAATTAACAAAAGTAAAAGTCTATAACATTTTGAAAACCATAGTGAACATTTTTCGGTGAAAATTGGTAGATATTCATTTCTGATTTTTCTGAACCTCGAGGCGTCGCTTTTGTGCCAATTCATCAATTTTTTGAAGGTGGGAGGGTCCTTTTAACTGTCAAAATTTAGCTGAAACATAGTATGAGATGTGTGCTGAATCTTGATAAAACGTTTCTTATCATAGGGTTAGACTACAGTGTATCCTCGTGTAAAAAGAAATTTAACATCTGCGTTGTACCTTCGTCACTCGCCTTCCAAATGCCACTGCTTGTGCGACGCAAGTCACCTTCGATTCAAATGAAGAAGCACAATGTGCCATCGAACACTTGTGCAATCTTCATCAAAAGACGACAATGCTTGTCAGCATGTGCAGTGGGCGGACGGGGTTCTGCTTGCCTCAGCTCCTCTTTTCAACTTCCCGCCCGCCTTTACCCTCTTGCGCGAAGAAGAACATCCCTGTTGGCCACATGTGCATATGACACAGCAATATCGCTGGGTGGATAAAACCGCCCCCGGGCAGGTCGCTTGTCAGACCAGCTTCTGAGCCAGCACCATGAAGGCTCTCGCAGTTCTGTTTACCGTTGTCAGCCTCGCGGTGGCCAAACCGCCTCCGGAGAGCGACCCGACCATCCTCTTCGGAGTGGGTGCGGCCCGCTCGGAGCTGGGCTGCGGGAGTCACACGCTGACCGCCGGCACGTACACCATCAAGTCGCCCAACTACCCCGCCAACTATGGCAACAACGTCGACTGCGCCTACAACCTGGCGCCCGGCGCCGACGTCACCTCCTTCAAGGTGGAGTGTTCGGCGTTCAGCCTCGAGTCCCACTCCTCCTGTAACTACGACTGGCTGATGGTAGGTGGCGCCAAGTACTGTGGCACCGCCGGACCGTCCGTCACCAAGGTGGGCGCTCTGGAGCTCTCCTTCCACTCCGACTACTCGGTCACAAGTACTGGCTACCAGTGCACCATCACGGCCCAGGTCGGCGGCACTGCCCAGGAGCTGGCCTGCGGCTCGCACACTGTCGCTCCCGGACTCTACAGCATCAAGTCGCCCGGCTACCCCTCCAACTACGGCAACAACCTGGACTGCGCCTACACCATCACCCCGGGCTCCGGCGTGAACACGATGACGCTCGCCTGCTGCCAGTTCGAGATCGAGTACAACAGCAGCTGCGGCTGGGACTGGCTGCGCGTTAACGGCGTCAAATACTGCGGCCGCCAGGGCCCGGCACTCAGCGAGAGCGGCGCGTACACCATCGACTTCCACTCGGACTACTCGGTGGTGAAGGCCGGCTACTACTGCGAGGTGCGCGCCACCCCCTGAGAGGGCGCAGACCGGCCGCTCTCCCGTCACCGATAGCTGACCCATCCGAGCGTCCGTCACCGGCTGCCGATAACCGTAGAACAGCTGTCAATGTGTCCAACCACACTCTGTTCTAGGTCCTCCCGCAGACTAATGTCATTGTGATGGAGATGGCTCTGACGAAATATACATATGTGACAGCTTATGGACATGTTTACGAAGCATGTACTCCGGTTCCCGATCGGGTTTCTCCTCTATGTTGGTTTATGATAAGAGCCAAGAGGAGTCCGTGCCGTACCAGGATTAAAAGTTTGGTACTCTCAGGATTTTTTTCGTGAATATCCTACAAACCACAGCGTGAAGCACCGCCGTTTTTTCTTGCACACTTTCAGACATTTTTACACATACATACTGGCAGATTATACGTCGAAGTTACAAGTTAGGTGACCTGTGGCTATCAGTTCTCCTCAAATGCCCAATCATAAAGAAAAATGAATGCAATATACGTGTCCTAGCTACAACAACTAACCAAATGCTTTGAAGCTTCAGCGACTGCTAATGGTGCCAGGATATTGTTAACATAAGCAGGTATGTACCTTCTTATTAGCCTTTTTCGGTCATCTGAAGTGCGGCCGATTTGGCGACTTCTATGTAATAAATAAATTGAAGCATATTGAGGTGTAAATTTCATACGATTATTGGTCTGAAATTGTATCTATTAGCTCTAGCTCCCTTTAGCTCTAATATCCTCTTGAGTCCCGCCAATTCGCCCATGAATGGAGAGCAACGAAACTTTTTTGGCTGAGAGCTTTGGTGCCAATAATGACCAGATTGGTGACATTTCAGCCGTGAAGGTCATCGCGCATGCGCAGTGACATGTATACTGGGATATACAAAAATACTCAAAGCCTATAAAATCTGACTGAAATGCAACCCATGAAAACTTCCATACAAACACCAAAGTGTATTTTTTCGTGTGTTTAGGGCGTAAAATGGCTAATAGTATTGACACGTTTAATTATCAATACCACTCGCCCTTAACTTCAGCTTCTTCTGCCCCTTGCCCACTGCTCTTAGGTCTTTAGTTGCCATTTCCTTTGAAGATATAGAACTTGTAGCACCTGTTGCGAATCGATAAACAGTAGAGGAAGACCTTGCAGCATTATCTGAAGCGACATCTCTAAAAAAATCGCCGTATGGTGTGTTTTAGAGAGGTGCTTGCCTATGTCATTGTGCTTAGGGGTCGGATTCTAATTCATCGGGCGATTTATCAAACTTTGAGTGAGGATCTACGGTCATTGAGGTCGCCAACGATTCGAAGAATGTCAACGCTCAACCACAGAGCCATTTGAAGGCATAATGTTGTTTGTGAGCCACAAAAAATGGCTTTAACTAACCCAGCAACCATGTATACTACAGTATACATGACTAGTCCTAGGCACAGTCCGTTGTATACTGACGTTTACATTTCTCCGTCGTGCAGGATCCCGTTGGTCACTCGGGTGTACATTTATTTTTTCAGAGGTCAATTCCTCCGAATAATTGTAGTGCTACTTCTTAAGCACGTCTCAAAATTTTTCGGGCAAAAGACATTTGTATACCTTAGTATACATGAACTTTAATTCTTTCTGGAAAAGTTCCAAACACACAATTTTGTTTACAAAACCTGCAAGCAATGATCAACAACGAATAGTTATGTTAGCAAAACAACAGTTTTCGATGAGTCATACTCTTAAAAAGAAATAACAGGAAAATAATTAGGAGACGTACCTCTATGCTGCGACCGCCGAGATACCGGGAAGATTAAAGCGCTGAGGCGTCAACAAATTCAACTTGAGGATATAAATTCAGCCACCAGGTGGCGGACCATGGCATGAAGAATGCAACGCATGGCCATGAAATAGCCTAGCCATTAGTGAATTCCGTAGAGATCGACTTAAGACGATGTATACCCCAGTATACAAAAAGAACCAAGAGGATATGTATGTTTAAAGCCTTTTACTAGTAAGATCCAATTCGACAATCGAGATTGTATCATTTCCAAATCCGTTTGACCGGAATTCATGGCATTTTTTGCCGCAATCGTCTCTGGTGTCAGTGGGTGGGCGTGATCCGCTTAGGGTCCCCTTTCGTCCTTTATGGCCGTCCCTCCACCAATTGTCGGCGCGTTACCGCCCCGGAGTCGGTCCGACGCACCGGGACGGCACCGGTGCGGCGCGCCGAGACGGAGCCCACTTCTGGCCCGTCCGTTCCGCGCCCGCTAAGCCCTTTATCTCAGATTGAGACGCTAGCCGTTTTTACGACGTCCCGGTGAAAAAGTGTCTGTGCCGTGATGCCTGTTTATCGCCGGGACGGAGGGTTTTTGTGCCGCCAAACGTGGCCCGTCACACCTCGCGGGCCACTGCGTGCTGACAGCCGGCTGAGCGGCGACGGACCGTACTGCAGAGAGGGCAAACGGCGCTCCGCCGAAACGGCGCGTGTGGGGAATATTGAACTGGTGACTCGCCCCACTGTCACTCCAACAGCAAGGCTGCTCAGCTGAAATGCATGTATGTAGAAGTGTCGCAACTGCTCAGACCAAACAGAGTCTACAGACAGATGCTCCTTGAGATCTCCCTTGAGAGCTATCCCATAGTCTCTCTCCAGCAAGGGCGGATCTAGGGGAACGTTTTGGGGGGGGTCACCAGTCGGCCGACATGCCAGGTCTGATGAATGAATTCTGACGACCGGGGGGGGGGGGGTAGGGAGCGAGTATGTCGAGATCAAATGACATTTGATCTTCGTCGTTTCTGAGTTGAAGTTTTATCGTAAGTCACTCGGCTCAGTAGTTTTAGTTAGTGAAACCCACCTATAGAGGAGCGTCGCCACGGATTTTTTACTGGGGGGGGGGGGGGGGCGGATCGACCGACTTAAAAACCCAGAAGTAGTAGATATAGTTACCTCACTTATGCATTAGTCTAATGCCCAATGCATTAGTAGCATACAGTCACGATCTCTCTTATTGACCTGTGTATGAATCGGCGGCGCGAAGCGCCGCAAAAATTTGAAAAAAGTTGTCAAAACACAGCTCTAAAACACAAATATTACAACCCTTTTAGCATGCTAGTACAAGCCGGAGTTCCTTCACAGTGCACATATGAATTCCGATTCAATTTGACACGGTTGGTGTTATTACAGTCACGATCTCTCTTATTGATTGGTGTATAAATCGGCGGCGCGAAGCGCCGAGAACATTTGCAAAAGAATGTGTCAAAACACAGCTCCGCTCCAAAACACAAATTTTACCACCCTTTTAGCATGGCAGTACAAGCCGGAGTTTCTTCACAGTACACATATGAATTCTGATTCAATTTGACACGGTTGGTTTATGTAATTACAGTCACGATTTCATATTGACCTGTACGTATGTACATGAATCGGCGGCGCGAAGCGCCGCGAAAAATTTGCAAAAACATTTGTCAAAACACAGAGGGGGTCTCCTCTCTACAGAGGACCACCGATCTCTACTGCGGGCCTCCTCTTTTCACAGGGCCTCTTAACTACAGAAGGCTTCCTCTCTACAGAGGGCTTCCTCTCTACTGAGGGTCTCTCCCTTTCAGAGGGCCTCCTTTACAGAGGACCTCCTCTCTTCAAAGAGCCAGAGGACCTCATCTCTGCAAAGGGCTTCCTCTCTTCAGAGGGCCTCTTCTCTACAGAGAGCCTCCTTTCTTCAGAGGGCCTTCTCTCTACAGCGGGTCTCCTCTCTTCAGAGGGCCTTCTGCATTCAGGCGGTCTCCTTTCCACAGAGGGTCTCCTCTACAGAGGGCCTCCTACCTACTGAGGAGTCAGAGGGGCCGACACAGACACTAGCGGTTATTCACTGGAGGCCCCAGGAAGTAAGAAGGGCCCTAGCTGTCAGGCTGGTCAGAGTGCCCTGAATGTCCTGACGTGATTTTTGGGATTCCCGTGAATTTCTTTCGCCTCCGACGTGATTTTGACCTGCCAGGGCCCAGGGGCACTAAAAATAAAACAAACAAAATAAAAAAATGGAAATAGGACATCACCAAAATTAAGTGGCCGAAATCCGTTGAGTTTTTAATTTTGCGTATAGGTAGGGGCACCACGAATTAAATTCATGACCATCCCCTTGGAGTTTTCCTGGATCATCCCCTGGTGCTCGCACGGTTGAGACAAAAATGAGTAAGATTCTGGCCTTCAATACGCCTTTTCACGCAACACGATCCAGAAAAACAAAGGTATTAGCTCAGAAGTGTTTGACATGTGATTTTGAGCATGCAAGACGGCGTCTATAGCGCATTTAGGTCTTCGGCTTTTGGGGGGGGTCAAATGACCCTCTCAGACCTTTTGGGGGGGGTCATGACCCCGTGGACCCCCCCCAGGATCCGCCACTGCTCTCCAGTAAGTCAGAATAGTTGAAAAAAAACTATATGACTGATTCAATTTCCCACACCGAGCTTGCGGCGAGGGACCCGAGGAGAAGTGCAGCCTTGTTGTCTGTGAGACTGGTCAGATATGGGTTGAGGCGTGAGAAACGTACCAGTGGAAAAGAGGGCACAGTCGAGCCCGAAATACAGCGCGATGAAACAACAATCTCACCTTGTAACTACAGCACCCATTTTCACTATAAAAAGCAATAGTATGCACCTCTGAGATAGTCTTCTGATCAATTTTTCCGTGTACGCTTCTCGAGAAGGAAGTGGTCAGTGGTCACAGCCCACACCGGTTCGTTCGGACCAGGACCAGGTCAGTGGTCCGCTCCAGACCAGGACCAGGTCGGTGCTTCGTTCGGACCAGGGCCAAGTCGGTGGTCCATTCGGACCAGGACCAGGTCGGTGGCCTGCTCCAGACCAGGACCAGGTCGGTGGCCTGCTCCAGACCAGGACCAGGTCGCCTGGCGGTGGTCGTTCGTCACTCGGCGGCTGGTATCGGCCGAGCCATCACCGCGTGGAGCATCGCTCGGACAGAACAATGTCTGTCCGAGCAGCCGACCGAGGCGGGCACTGAGCTCTTCGTGCCGCCGCTCCTCCTACTCTGCTCTGTATGTAGACCACCAGCAGACTGTCCGCCGTCCACCGACCACCGTCCACCGTCCACCGTCCACCGTCCACCGTCCACCATCCACTGTCCACCGGTCCTCCGCGCTGAGTCTTGTGCACAGCATGCCTGCTTGTGAGTTCTGAGGGAAAATGGGAATAGCTTACGTTAATTTCGTAACCATTGTACAATATGTTATGTGAATGAGTAGCATACGAAAGTGGTTTAATATTATCCCAGCTGATTTATGGTCTCCTGCCTTATCAGTCACATATCCAACTATCTAGGACCATTATACACATGGAATCAGTTGGGGGAGGTTTGGTCAATGGTTGTCATTTTTAGCACATGCCATTTTTGGCAACCATGTGCTAAAAATGACAGCGCTATCAGCTATTTTTAGCAACGATGAAGCCGATTTCACTCCTCAGCGAGGAAATCACGATTTTGGAAATACAAGCACTGATTTTGGAAAAGAAGTGCTGCCACCTGGTGCAAGAAGAAGAAACCAGCTTTAATATGGCCGTTGTTTGTATGGTAGTCCAACGTTGAAGTATACCCTTTTTTGTGGCCCGAAGTTGGAACTTTAAATTGAAGCATCCGAAAATGATCGATATTTATCGAAATCATGATGTTGATGAAAAAAATAATATGTTAAGTTGAGAGAGGAGGCCATTTTATCCAGATGCGGTGGTTTACTTCTTGAAATTATGTTTGCTTACGACGACTGCCATGTAATGAGGGATAATTAGCAGCCGTCATTAGCAAAAATAATTTCAAGAAGTAAACTACTGCATCTGGATAAAATGGCCTCCTCTCTCAACTTAAAATATTATTTTTTTCATCAACATCATGTTTTCGATCAATATCGATCATTTTCGGATGCTTCAATTTTAAGTTCCAACTTCAGGCCACAAAACAAACTACCATACAAATAACAGGCATATTAAAGCTGGATTCTTCGTCTTGCACCAGGTGGCAGCACTTCTTTTCCAAAATCAGTGTTTATCTTTCCAAAATCTTCATTTCCTCGCTGAGGAGTGAGATCGGCCTCATCGTTGTCAAAAATAGCAGAATCGTTGTCATTTTTAGCACGTGTGACAAAAATAGCACGTGCTAAAAATGACAACGATTGACCAAACCTCCCCCGACTGGAATGACAAGTGACGTATATCATTCCGGTACATCGATATACATTGTTCCCACATTGTGAAGACTCCAGGAGGAATGCAGTTCAGTGATGACTGATTAACTGTTTTTATGTAGGACCGTCACCTTCACAGTCACGTCTCCTTGATGATTCTTGGTTCTTGGTGTGAGGTAGGTACTCCTTATCATTTGTCAACCTTTCATGGAAAAGCAACACTGCATTATCTTTATTAATATCTGTCAGATAATTCATACCGAGCTAAAATTAAACCCAAGCTACGGGTGAGCCGAAGCCCGTAGTCTTACATTTGGGCGCGTATTATTTAGGCCAGGGTTCATAATGTCCAGGGCATGATGTGTCCAGTGCTCGAAATGGCCAGTGCCTTGAATTGGCCAGTGTTCATATTGTCCAGGGATTACATGGTCCAAATGTGGCCAACTGGCTGCAGATAGGGTAAATTCAAAGAGACCAGGGTTCATAATGTCCAGGGCACGATGTGTCCAGTGCTCGAAATGGCCAGGGTTCATAATGTCCAGGGCACGATGTGTCCAGTGTTCGAAATGGCCAGGGTTCATAATGTCCAGGGCACGATATGTCCAGTGTTCAAAATGGCCAGTGCCTTGAATGGGCCAGAGTTCATAGTGTCCAGGGATTACATAGTCCACCCAACCCAACCAAATCTAACTTATCCTAACCTAACCTAACCTAACCTAACCTAACCTAACCTAACCTAACCTAACCTAACCTAACCTAACCTAACCTAACCTAACCTAACCTAACCTAACCTAACCTAACCTAACCTAACCTAAGGTAATGATGTTTGCCTACCGGGGATAAGGAAATAGTTTCTCGCATGAATAGATTGCAAGCAATAGTAAATCAAATATTTTTAGGTTAAGTGGTTATGCATCAGGCTTCAGGCCTTCGGCCTGAAGCCAGATACATAACCACTTAACCTAAAAATATTTGATTTACTATTGCCTGTAATCTCTCCTAAGGCATTGCCTTCGGCACTACACTGCTTCACATTGAGCTGGTTCCGTGTTTTTTACATAATGACGTCACTTTCAGTGACTATGTAATCCCTGGACACTATGAACTCTGGCCTATTCAAGGTACTGGCCATTTTGAACACTGGACACATCGTGCCCTGGACATTATGAACTCTGGCCATTTTGAACACTGGACACATCGTGCCCTGGACATTATGAACCCTGGCAATTTCGAACACTGGACACATCGTGCCCTGGACATTATGAACCCTGGCCTCTTTGAATATACCCTATCTGCAGCCAGTTGGCCGCATTTGGACCATGCAATCCCTGGACATTATGAACTCTGGCCCATTTAAGGCACTGGCCATTTCGACACTGGGCATAACGTACCCTGGACATTATGAACCCTGGCCAGAATGAATGCTCCCCCTTACATTTACAACCACTGACCTTTCCCCATTACCACATCCGTCGCCGCTGTCACAAATAGACCCCGTCCCGCCGATCACGCATCCCGAAGCGGCCCCCAGAATTCCACCTAACCGATTGGAGGGCCGCCTGGGCTACCGTATTCCGCCGGGAGCTGCCGGGCGGGCTCAGGACGACAGACGGCCGCGCGGAGGCACGTCAGGCGCCCGGCGGATGTCACGTCTGAACGGCAGCGATCGGTGAGGAGGACCCCGGGCTCTCAGAGTGTGTGTGAGTGACCCGCAGAGCCCCGGACCGGTCCAGATTCCGGGCCAGTCGTGACGGCGTGCCGTACCGGCTCCGCTCCGGCCGGCTCCCACGACCGGTGTCGGGCCGCCAGCTGCTCTGGTTAGAATAGGTACAGCACAAAGTGATCGGCTAACTCGGCGTTTTTGAACTGTAAGGTATAAGGCAGCTCTGAACTTGGTTGTTTTATGCAATACCCATACCCATGTAGGTCAAGTTTTCTGCTCCTTTACACATGATTGAGGTGAGATGTAGAGTCCATGAATTTTAAAAACATTAAGAAATAAGTAAATTTTGACGCCGAATTACTCTTTATATTCATCCACACAGCGCAACGCAAGAAAAGGAAGAGACGGTTATGCGTCTTTCGGACACCAAATTCGGTGGGCTGTCGCTGGCATCGAGTTTCGTCTGTCATTCTTCTTATATTGCGTGTCAGATTATCTTTATGATGCATCAAACAGTGAGAACATCAACAAAGCAGTTAAACGAAGATGTGACTTTGTGAGCCAGATATCTTTACATTCCAAAATTGATTTGAGCTCGTGTCATGACGGTTTGTGGTGGTAGCAACGATTTCATTTAAAAAAGCCTTTTTATGACCGCCAAACCAGAAACACGCTACACCGAGTCGTAAAGCAGCTCATCAATTTCCGTTGGCATACATGATGAAACGCACATATGCTGGAGCTCTGCCGCCGCGCAACAGTATGGCCCAAACGTGACCGCAGGCAGGCCAATTATCTGGACACGATTTTAGCATTCCGCTCAATCAGAGTAGGCAGCTGCTTATAGATTTATGGTTACTGAAACATTGTGGGCTGCGGTCGCTGGGCTGAATGATAAAGAGCCTGTACCCACTACTCATAGGTATTCTATAGACAATAACGACGGTGACGGAGTTCTACGGAATAGTAACGTCGTAACTGGAATATTCTGAATCATAGAAGCACGGTTGACTATTCAATGTGGAATTGTACCTAACAATAGTAGTTGAGTATGTAGGTACTCTGTATATCTTTTGTCTAAAATATGTGTTTTGTATGGAAAATGTTATCGCATCGGCACAGTGCTTTGAATGCATTGGAACTTGGAAGTGCTGCTAGGTTTACATATGTTTTACAATTGAGTATGCATAACACGATAGGAAACACTGCGATTCCTGGCAGCAGAGGCTTGATCCGCCGAGGGACAATAGAGACAGAGCGGGTACTGCCCCCTCCTGTTCCTTTCTCGCCGTTCCATCACCCAGCAGAGCTGTCTGCGCTGGCCTTCGGTGGACCGACCCTCTAGGTGTCCCGTCCACGTGTGTCCCCGTGTGTCTCCGTGTGTCCCCGTGTGTCCCCGAGTGTCCCCGAGTGTCCCCGAGTGTCCGGCGCTGTCCGGCAGTGTTCGGGGGTAGGTCGGACGCCTTCCGGTGGTCTGGCGACACCGCCAGACCGGTCGGTAAGTGGCTCCGTCCATCAGTCGGACGTGGATTGATGGCTGTTTTGTAGCGCGAGAGGCGTGCCGCCGTCTCGCTGGGCGCAGGGAGGAGGAAAGTGTCACATATAGAGAGTGGTACACGGCGCGAGGTGCTTTCGGTGTGAAATGGATCAGAGGGTCCTTTTATTTTCCTCCAAGGTCAACAGTCTGTCTGCTAAATTTCTAGGTGGAAACTTCAGCTGATTTCATTATTGTATGGCTCAGAAAGTGTTTTCCTTGTTTACCTCAAACACCTGTACGTTACGACTTCAGACCTTTTTCAGTAACCCCGATGATGTAATGTCGGATCTGTTATCTATATAATTTGACTAAGAAACTAATGTCTATGTCTGTTGGGAGTTGGGACGGTATTAAGCTGTTTGTTTAGCCTTAGTTTCTTTGTAGTAATGACGTGAGAAGTATAATAAGTGGCCTGAAACCGGTACAACTAGATTTCGGGACAGGCTACGCTGTTCGGGGTTTTGGATCGACACCCGTGAATACCTATCAGGTGAGCATCCTCTCCCTCCTCAGACAGGAAGTAGTTTCCTCGACACCGTGCTACAAAATCAAGTGGTTTCGCATTGTTTGCTGAGTGGGGCTCACTCAGTGCTGTCTACGCCACCCAGTACCGGCCCACTGCCCGCTGTGAGGTCTGTGTGTGTGTGTGTGCGGTGTGTGTGGAGAGGACAGCGGGATCTCGGCCGTCCGCCTCGATCACGCTCGGCCGCCGCTGATCCTATGGGACGGCCGGCGACGAGGCCACTTTGCGGGCTCCATTGTGCCGCTTCCCCGCCAAAACATGCTTTTAGTGATCCCCTATCGCGCTTATGATCTCCGTACATTAAATTCGAGCCCAAGATGTCTCGATAATCCAGCATTCCAGGGTCTCTATGGTACTGACTCGGAAATGCGAGCTCTCGCACTGCTACGAGAAGTCCATACTAAACAAGCGGCGCCGCCACTCGCGGCGCGGTTTTGCCGTCTGCTGCGTCGTTTTTGTCTCGGCCGCTTCGGTGCTCGTCTGTGCGCCGCGCCGCCCCGTGCCCGATTATCGGGGTCGGCAGGGGTGTTGGTCCACCGGATCGGCGGGGCTGAGCGCGGCCCAGTGGCCGCCGGCGGCCGCGCCGTCAGATAGTCAGGTCTGATTGCCGCTCTCTGAACTCTGAGAGGTGCCGCTGATGGTCAGATCAGCTCCCCACCCTCTTAGCTGCCGAGGTAAACGGCCGACAGACTCGAGAGTGCCGGAGAGTACATACAGGGCGATTGGAACGGCGCGGGTGCTATGGGATATGGACAGTCGAGTGGCTGGAGTCCGTTCCCTTTGTCGCCTGACTTTTCCGACAGGAAATGGCAATGGCGGCTTTGAAGGCTTCACTTTGTGCGTTATAATGCCTGAAGAATGTTGGTGACTGCAGAGTGCATAAACGTCACATATTCGTCATGAAATATGCATGCGTCCATTTCCTCGCCGCATCGCCGAACACTCACCTACCACATCTATTCACCGGATAATAAAACTGAGCGCAGAACTGACCAGTGCCGACAGAGACCCATGTCATATCCGGCCGGCGACATACCAGTCACTGCGCTCTGAGTCAGCGGCCGGTCATCACAAGTCGTCGGTCCGCACATGGCCTCCCGGTGGGGCCGTGTGTGTGTGTGAGTGATGAGCATCGGCCGCGGCCTGTGGTCGCGACACTGTCACGATCGGGCCGTCCGGTCCCACTCCAAGTCGGCCGTGGGAGCGGGCCCGTTTTTATGACGCGTCCTTCTGAGATGTCAATCTGAGTGAGCCATGATGTGTATTATGGCTGGTGGAAACGGCTCATTTTTTAGTCATGCAGCGGCGACATCTGCTGATCATGTCGTTTGCAGGTAAGAAGGTTCTTTTATTCAGCGATGCTGATAATGCACCGAGACCGAGTCGGAAACCATGTTGCAATGCCAAATCTGGGCGTCTATATGATGTTCTACACGAATTAATGACTGGTAGCATGGCATGCCACATGTCCAGTTGCGTTGCTTATAGCTACGCTTGATAAAATCTCTTACACATTTTCTCTTGTTTTCTTATTTTGTTCAGATTGTCTTGTCGTGGTTCTTGTGAATACGGCACTTGCCCCGAACTACAACGCTTGGACGTTTTTGCCTAATCCTTTTGAGTGTATAAACGCTATGTCATGATGAGCAACGATAAATCCTGCATCTTGGTCGAATAACAGTCATC